GACGGCGCAGCAGCAGCTGGAGGAGAAAGAGAGATATTGTGATCAAAATGCCCGCAGGGATCGATATATGGATGACGGTGCGTGGAAGGCCGAACGCAGCGCACTGCTAGGGTTCAGCCTGAAACTGAAAGAGAGACCTCTCTACCCGACCCCAACGAATCAAAGAACATGTCCCCAAATCCCCTCCCACCAACGCATGGGGCGATCTGGACTCACACGCTGGTGCTGTCGGTGTCACTTCCAGATGAAGCCGTGGAGCTGCTGGGGGGCGGCGGCGCCTCTGACCTCGGCCGCCCGAACTCCTGCTCTCGATGCTCTGGTCCTCGGCTGCGGCGACGTCGCGGGCGCTGCTGTATCCTTGGCCTTGCGTTTGGCCGCCCCCGGCTCCGACGATGCCGCCCCCGCTCGCTTGGACCCCGCGTCTGATACCTTCATTGCGCCAGCACGCACGCCGCTGCGAGGAACTGCCCTGGCCTTCACCTTCGGCCTATTCTTCGCCTTCGCCTTCGCTGCTGCCCTGCCACGCCAGTTGCTGCCAGCGCGTCGCAGCGAAGACAAAGGCTTCTCATCCTCGCCCTCATCCTCGCCCTCGGAGTTGTATCGCTGCTCCACCTTCGCGCCGCTGCCGGCCTCGCTCTCGCCACGGCGCAGGCTGCCGCACCAACGGAGGCCGCAGGAACCAGGTGGTCGAAACGATTGGAGATCGGCCGCGGGCCGAGCTCCTCCACGGCGTACATGTGCGGCCAATGCCCAGTTCTGCACGAGTGCCAACATGAAGGCGTCACAGCGTCGCCCCGCGGGACGCAGACGCAGTGCGAGCCCCGGCGCCTCCGCAGGACTTTCAAGGACACCTTGCGCGGGGCCCCGTCCACGGCATCTGTCGGCTGCACCATAGTTCCAGAATCCAGCCAAAGTTGCTGGAGGCGGTCCACGCGGCGGGCCGTCAGCTCCTGGACGAGGCCCGCGGCCATGGACAGAGACTGGCCAGGGGGCGCCGATGGCCACGATGAAAAAGTCCCCGTCTCTGCCAGCCACCTGGTGTAACTATTGTGGCATTCTCGCCGCCGCGGGTGGCAGTGTGAGCTTCCAAGATAGCTTCGATGCTCGGCAGGGCGACCTCGGCGCGTCGCCCAGGAATCCTGCACGCGAGACCATCGTGCCACATCCAGCCGTCGGGGCAAGAGGGCCTCAACGCAATCCCTTCAGCTGTTGCCATCAGCGAGAAGCTCTTCTGCCTGTCCACCGGCTCGGCCGTCCAGACTGCGACGCGCTTGCCCACCTCCTCCACGACGGCTTCCATGCCCGCCTTGTGTCCGACGGACTTGATGCCTCGCTTCATGTGGGAGTGGCCGGCCTCTGGGGGCTGGTGGCTCGGCACCTGGCCACGCGCGTGGCCCGCGCCCATGCCAGAATGCCACGTCGCCGTTGTCAGCGAGGCCGCGCCGAGACAACTCTCGTCGACTGCCGTCGATCTCAGGCACGTGCGTCGGAAGTACGACATCCACTGGGCGTCGCCCCCCCCCCCCACCCCCACCCACACACACACACACCGCGCACGCGCCTCCAACCTGCACCAAAGCAGATGGAACGTCAAGCGGCTCGGCAAGGCGGAACTCTCGTGCACGTAAGCGACGGCAGCTGCAGTTGACTTATCCCGTAGCCCTGGGGCCACACGCCTGCTAGGAATGAGGAAGCGCACCGCCACCTCCTGCGCCGGGGAGAAGCTCCTGTAACAGGGCGTCTTGATGTATTCTTAGTATCGTGATTATTAGTATCGTGTATTAGCGCAGCGTCTACATGTAGTGCTGGGCGGGGCGGGGGGCTGCGGATCCCTTCCTCGTTCCTACCTGCGACGGCCGGCCTGGTTGCGCCGACGATTTTCGAGCATGTGCCCCAGGATTACTCTGCAGGAACTCCTCCTCCAAGCCCGGAAAGTGGTCGAGCCCCATCTGACGTGTGGCGGGCAGCCTTCGACGGCGCATCTTAGCCTGGACCGTTTGGAAACCGTGCCCATAAGTTTTGCATCCTCACGAGAATGAACAGCGATCGCCACTGGCCATGGTGTCTTTCTCCAGCGTCCCGCCTGAACTAGAGCCTCGAAGAACGGCGGCAGCAGGAGAAGGAAGGACGTTATGACCGGCTGCAAGGAGCAGCGCAGGAAGCGCACGGGTCCACTTTCAATGCCTCTGCGGCTGTCGACGTATGCGTGGAACGCTGCCGACCACTTCAGTCGTCGATTTCCACCTCTGGCTCGACGAGACCGCCGGCGAAGGACCCCGCGCAGGACATCCGCGACCAATGGCCGCTGCCCCCGAGCCAGCATCTCCTTGTGGACCTCGAAAGCGTGCGAAGCCTTGCCAGCGGCGGCGAGATCGTGGGCGACGCCGAGGGCTGAGTCCTTGACTTCCTGCGTCACCTGTGTGCACTGACTACCGCTCGGCAGGGGGCACAGGCTCCCACGCAGAGGCCCTGCGGTTCCCGCGCATGCGCCAGCAATGGTCACGTCTAACTGGTAGGAGCCTGCACGCCCGCGGCCGCCATCCGCTGCCCATTGCCCCGTGAACTGGTAGACTAAGCCGTTCCCCGCTTTGCGAAGCTGGTGCTTGCTGCACCGAGAGCCCCCTTCCCACGAGGTTCCGGATTTCCAGATGTGTAGGAGCCGCGAGAGGCAATGGCGCTTGTGTCGGCCCTTAGAGCAATGACAGCTGCACGCTGGACAGTCTCGGGGTCCTCGTCCTTGCGCTCCAGCTCCCAGTCCTGGAACTTCACGATTCCGCCATCGCCAACAGGCAATGGCACGTAGGTAGGGCGGCGACTCCGCCCCAGACGAAGGCCCAAAGCAGGCGCGATGACTGCGCTGGAGGGGGGAATATAATTAAAACAGTCGGGTAAGCAGGCCCCCCAGCAACAGTTCGGGAACGCGGGCTTCCCGGCCCTCCCCCTATCCTCCATTTGGAGTTGTCGCGTCGTCGTCTCCTCCCCCCTTGCTTGGGCGCACTGCTCAGCCCGCGCGCCCCCTCCCGTGGGGCGCGCATAAGGGCCAGCCACTGCCCCCCCCGCGCTGACCCGCAGGGACTCGTGATCGTAAGGTAGCGAGCCTCTCTTACGGGGCCACCTCGGAGCGCAGTATTTGAGCAGCGCGGCATGGCTGTTGCGCAACCGATCGCAGGGGATTTTGGCAGAAGCGCGCAAGGCGCCAGCGTAGGTGTTTTGACGTTGAACCCCCTTTTATGCGGATGTCCTTGTCCGTGTCTCCTCCATCCTCCCTTTTGGGGTATGACGCCATTCCCCGTCCCCTGCCACCCTGCATGATCCCACACTTCCCTGATCAAAGCCACTCCTCTGGGCATCGTTGCTGGGAAGCTGATCGGAACTCGTCGCTCGAATAGTTGTTTTAAGATGGACTGGTGGGGACTCGCGAAGCGTAGTGTATTACGTGCGGGTAGTAAGCGTAATGTATCAAGTGTCGGGTATTGGGTGTCGGGTTGTACGTGTAGTTATCAAGGGTCTGGTATTGAGTGTCGGGTATTAGGTGTCGGGTATTTAATGTGGGGTACGAGGCGTCGGGTTCTAAGTGCGGGCTTTAAGTACCGGGTCGCAAGTGTACTGTACGAATGTCATGGATTTGTGTTGTTTCTCTGTGTCGTGCATTCGTGTAGTTTCACTAGTGTCGTGTACTCGTGCAGTGTATTAATAGTGTGTATCATATTTCGCGTATTTGGTGTCGCGCATTACGTGTCGGATGTTAATTGTTGGGTGGTAATTGTAGAGGAGTCGTGTATCGTATTCGTGTATTTGTGCAGTGCATCAAATGTAGCGCATTAGGTGTATGGTAGTAAGTGTGTTGTTTTAGATTCGTTGTGGGTTTGTGTATTCGTGTGACGTATCATTCTCCTGTGCAAGTGTAATGCATTTAATGTAGAATACGCAGTGAGCGTACGAAATGGGTGTAGCGTATTGACTGTAGTGTACTGATCGGTTGTAGCGCACCGCGTGGAGTGTACTAAATGAACGTAGCGTAACATGTGCAGTGTACGGAATGTAGCGTACGCAGTGTAGTGTACTACGTACGTATAGTGTGTTAAGTGTAGTGCAGCGTATTGGGTGTAGTGTACCAGGTGAGTGGATTGAGTTCGTGTAGTGTACGAAGTGAAATGTATCGTATGTAGTGGATTGAGTGGGTGTGTTCATTGTAATGTATGAAGCGCAGGTCATCAGTTGTGGTGCAATGTAGTGAGTGTAGGGTTCACAGTGGGTGCATTAAGTGTAGTGTATGTGTTCTATGTTTCAAATGTGTTGTATTCGTTATAATATATCAAATGTAACGTGCTCAAGGTAGTGTACCCAGTGCAGCGTCTCAAATGTAGCGTGTTAAGCGTAGTGTGTTCAGTGCATTGTATTAAGCGTATCGTATAAGTGTAGTGTTTAAAATGTTGTGTATTGAGTGTAAGTGTGATGTGTTGGGCGTGTTGCATTCATTGTAGTGCACTGCGTGTAGTGAAATAAGTGTACTGGATTTAGTGTAGTGTATAACTGCAGTGAATTAAACGTAGTGTATTACATGTTGCGCATTGCGTATAGCGTCTTATTTGTAGCATTGTATGCGGAGTGCATCAAATGTAGTGTATTCGTGCAGCGTGTCAGTGCAGCGTACTCGTGCAGTGTCTAAATGTAGCGTGCTCGTGTAGTGCATCAGCGTATTGTATCAGCATCGTGTATTCGTGTAGTCTAGTGATTTGGCGTAGTATGTCGGCGTAGTGTACTAGCGTAGCGTATTCGTGTGGTGTACGAGTGCACTTCTGTAGAGTAGCTTATTTGTGTAGTGTATTCGTGTAGTGTCTTAGCGTAGTGTATTCGTGTATGTCGAGTAGGGAACTAGTACAGTGTTGTACAGTAGCGTTTTCGTGTACTTTATTCGTATAGTGAATTCGTGTAGTGTATGTGTGTAGTGTATTATGTAGCTCCTGTGTAAGCTTAACCTCTATCTCTGGATGGGTAAGATTGCCCGGTACCGGGGAGCACTCCGACCGCGCTCCCGCCCGTGTCGGGCGCCCTGCCTGGCAGGAGCGTGGAGGCCAGCTCGACTCGGCCCGCGGCGCGGGGACGCGCCGCCAAATCTTCCAGGTCGCCCAGCGGGAGCGCGAAGCTGATCGCGCCTCGCGCGCCGCAGTCTGGGCCAGAGGGCTGGCCCTCTGCAGGGGGCGGTGCGCGATGATGACCGCACATCGCGGGGCGCGATTCGCGAAGTCGGGTATTCCGAGTCTCCGAAGCTAGGGCACCGTCCGCCAGTGGCTTTGCGCCAGGCGGGTGGGCGCTTCCGCTAGCTGCCCAGCCCGACTCTGGCCGTCGAGGCCCCTTGCCTTCGGGGACATTCGCTGTCCACGTGCACCGATCTTGGCCAGGCCTGTCCTGGCCGGCTGCGCGCACAAGGCGGTGCAGAGGGGGGGCGGCCTTGTCAGTGGACAGGGAGCTTCTTGGAAGGGCCTAGAGGCTTCGAGGAGGGTTTCTTGCAATGCAGGGAGGTTCTGAGAAGCTCCGCCCCCTCGCGCGCGCCGCCAGTGCACCGATCCGAACCAGGCTGATCCAGGGCCCCAGGATTCTTGCACACGCCCTTCCTGGTTGCTGGCCAGGACAGGAACGCTGTACCCGCCGATTCCGGGCCCAGGACTGGTCAGGCCAGGATCGCTGTGCATGGGCAGTCGGCGCCCTCCCGTCATCTCGCTAGCAGGGCAGAGTTTGGAATTCGCCGTCGCTACTTGGCCACACCAAGCGTACGCATATCTCTTCTCCCTCCTTCCCTCCCTCCCTCGCTTTCTCTCTCCCTCTCTCTCTCTCTCCCTCGCTCTCTTTGTCTCTCTCTCTCTCTCTCTTTCTCTTCTCTCTCTCTATTTATAGTTATCTTCGTTTGTTACTTCTCTCTCTATCCCTCTCGTTCTCTTTCTCTTTTACTTTTCTTTCTCTCGTTCTCTCTTTCTCTCTCTCTCTCTCGCTGCAAGTGTGGGGGGGGGGGCGGGTGCTTCAATGCTGTGGCCGATTTCTGCCCTCCGGCTTTATGCACCAATTCGTTCGCCCGCAGTGGATGCAATGTGGGCCGCATCGACTGACGCGTGGGAAAAGAGGCCGAGGGGGGAGTGTGCCCGCCGCCACTCACTCAGGCGGGGCTGCATTAGAAGCAGAGGGAGCCTCCTCGTCCTCCCCCTCCTCCTCCTCCGTCCTCTCCCACTTCTCCGCTTTTTTCGGCCAATATTTCATGCAGAGATGGATTCGCCGTCGTGCTCCACGGATGCCGCTATCACCGCGGCCATTTCCGAATTCTTCCTCAGTGAGCTCATCGAGGAGCTCTGCCGCGATTCGTGTCGCGCGTCTGTTGCTGCGCGCGTGCAGCCTCGCGCAAGCTGGATGACGCCCGCGTGCGATGGCAGTACTTCAAGGCCCGCTTAGCGGCGGCAGCTCCTTGCCACTGCATGGCGCTGCAAGGGGTGCAAGGTGCAAGCGCCCAGTCGGCGGCGCTTGGTCGGGCCCCGGAAGCCATATCCAAAACATCCAAAGCAACGCAGCAAAGGGGGCGGTGTTATTCCCCATATCTTGAGATGGGGTTCTTGTGATTCCCCCGATCCTGAGATGGGGCTATTGTTATTAATTAGACGCCTCCAGCTCCTCAGGAGAACGTTTCCTCTCCCTCCTTTTCGTGGCTCAGACTCACTCATCACATTCAGACTCACTCACACTCAGACTCACTCACACTCTCACACTCGGACCCACTCACACTCAGACTCGCTCACACTCAGACTCGCTCACCCTCAGGCGCGCTCATCACGCTCAGACCCACTCACACTCAGACTCACTCGCGCTCAGACTCACTCAGACTCACTCGCACTCTGACTCATTCATGCTCGGACTCGCTCAGACTCGCTCGCACTACGACTCACGCACACGGAACACAGGGCCCCGTACTTTAGCGAGGCGCTTGTCTCGGCACTCCCAAGGCCAAGGGTGGAGCCGCCAGGGATCTGGACACTCCAGCATTCCACTCTGGACACCCCAATGTTTATTCTCTTGGTGGTCAAATGTTCACCGCTATCTAGCAGGCGCGGCACTTGAGCACCCCAAGGGGGGGGCAGCGCCAGGGGTGGGGACATTCCAGGATTCGCGCCCAGATTGTGTGGGGGGGTCAGGTGGTTCGCGTGCCCTTGCCTCCCAGATGTCTTTCTTCTCCGTATCCTAAGATGAGGTTACTGTTGTTGATCAGACGCCTCCTCTACTTCCTTCCTCCTCCTCCTCCTCCTCCTCCTCCTCCTCCTCCTCCTCCTTCTCCTCTCGTGCACCCACTCAGACTCAACCACACTCAGACTCACTCATCACACTTAGACCCACTCACACTAAGACTCACTCACCCTCAGACCCATTCACACTCAGACTCACTCACACTCAGACTCACTGAAACTCAGACTCCATGATCACGTTGATATAGCAGGCGTGGCATATGGGTACCCTGAAGGTGAGTCGCCAGGGTACCCTAAAGGGGAGCCGCCAGGGGCGGGGGCACTCCAGCATTCGCGCAATGGTCTGGGGATGTCTCAGGCGGTCTGCTTGTTTGTATACGCAACATCCTCTGCTGTTGGAGCAGTTTGCGAGGATGTCTCATTCGAGGCGCTGGCTCCAGCATTCCCAAAGGGGAACCGCTAGGGTGGGGGACACTCCAGGATTCGCGCCCAGATTGCGGGGGGGGTCTCAGGCGGTTTGCGTGCCTTTGCCTCCCATCCTTTTTCCTTCGTCAAGATTGGGTTTTTCCTAGTATTCTGACACTTCCTACTCACCTCCTTCCTCCTCCCCTTCGTCTTGCACCCGCTCAAGCTCAACCACACCCAGACTCACTCATCGCATCCAGATCCACTCACACTAAGGCTCGCTCACCGTCAGACTCACTCACATTCAGGCTCACTCACACCCAGACTCGCTTCCACTCAGTCTCTATATTCACAGCGGTATAGCGGGCGTGGCACTTGGGCACCCCAAGGGAGAGCCGCCAGGGGTGGGGATACTCCAGGATTTGCGCCAAGATTGTGAGGATGTCTCAGGCGGTGTGTCTGCCTGCATACGCAACATCCCTTGCTTTTGGAACAGTGCGTGATGGTTTCTCAGGCGAGGCGCTGGTTTCGGCACTTCGAAGGGGGGCGCCGCCAGGGTGGCGACACTCCAGGATTCACGCCCAGATTATGGGGATGTCTCGAGCGGTTTGCCTGTTTGCATGCGCAGCATCTGTTGTCAGAGCAGTGCCTGAGGATGTCTCAGGCGAGGCGCTGGTTTCAGCACTCCGAAGGGGGGAGCACCCAGGGTGAGAACATTCCAGGATTCGCGCCCGGATTGTGGGGATGTCTTAGGCGTCTTGCCTGCTTGCATGCGCAACATCCTTGACTGTCGGAGCAGTTTGTGATGATGTCTGAGGCGAGGCGCCGGTTTCAGTACTCCGAAGGGAAGCCTTCTCCAGGGTGGGGATACTCCAGGATTCGCGCCCAGATTGTGAGGATGTTTTAGGCGGTTTGCTTGGTTCGGACCGCAGACTAGTCTGCGTTCAGAGCAGACTGAGAATGTCACAAGCTGAGCGTTGGCTCCAGCACCCCAAAGGGCCCAGATTGTGGGGTTGTCACAGGCGTCTGTCCGGGCAAATGCTTAGAGGAGAAGGACGCCACTGAAGTCGTCGCAGTCGTCGTCGTCGTCGTCGTCGTCGTCGTCGTCGTCAGGGCTGGTCGTCTACGCTGACGACTCGCTCTCACGCACAGATACTCACAGACAGAGTTTCCCAGCAAGACGTGACAGGAGTATGAGATGCACATGTTGGGATCTCCGCGTCGAGTAGTTCTGTCGTGGTCCAATGCTCACCGCGATATAATAGGCGTAGCATTCAGGCACATTAAAGGGGCGCCAGAGGTGGGGATGTTCCAGGATTCATGCCCAGATTGTGAGGACTTTTCAGGCGGTTAGCTTGTTTTTGCCTTCTAGACCCTTTTTACTTGTCAAATGCTCACCGCGAAATAGCAGGCATAGCGCTTGGGCACCCCCGTGGGGTGGCGCCAGGGGAGGGGACACTCCAGGATTCGCGCCTAGAGTGTTGGGATGTATCAGGCGGTGTGCTTGTTGTGCCTCTCCCACTACTTTTCTCTTCTGGTGGTCCAAGGCATACCGCGACATGGCAAGCGTGGCATTTGGGCACCTCAAGGGGGGAGCCGCCAGGGGTCAGGACACTCCAGGGTTCTCGCCCAGATTGCGGGGATGTCTCAGGCGGTTCTTTTTGGCCCCATTGACCGTGACATTACGGGGATGCCTCAGCCGGTTTGCGATTGTTTTGCTTGTTTCGTGGTCCGCTGTTTACCGTGCTCTAGCAGGCGTGGCATTCCCCGAAGGGGGGCGCCAAGGCGTGGGGTACGCAGGCTGAAGAGGGAACCGTCGCGCGGCGCGCCAACGGCCACTCGAAAGCGGACCCGAGCCTATGGCCCAGGTCCCGCGCTCGTGGCGACCCCCACCCGATCGCCCATCAGATAATCACGGCAGGGAGGGGGTCCAAACGCAGTGGCGAGCTTAGGAAATTTAGAAGCTCAGATAGGGAAACAGGACCAACGAGTTGATCATTCGAGCTGCAACCAGTGCACCTCAGGGTCAGAAACTTGGAGCCTCCTCTGCCCAGAGATAGCTTCTCGGCGACGCAAGTCCGAGGGGTGTCGGTTCGACGAGAACCGAAAAACATGGGAGGTCCCGCGTTTGCTACACGGAGGTGGGGGGGGGACACCCATCAAGCAGGCCAGAAGCCTTGCCTGTCGAGATGACCCCGCAAGTAAGGCATATAACAACTTTACCTGGAGAGACTCGCAAGTCGTGTCCTCGGGCGCTCCTGGGAGGAATATCTCCAGAAAGAGGGAGGCGCTCGAGGGGTTGGAAACTAGGGGCCCGCGACCCTCCTCGGGGCCCCAGGACTCGACGCAGCCTTGGCGATGGCTCCCCAAGGGAGGCGGGGCGCGCCTGTAGGTCCTGCACGGCGTCGTGCAGGCCGTCGTCCCCAGCGGGAGCGAAGCTGACCCCTTTCCCTCCATCGAGGGGGGAGGGACATTCAGGCGAGCTCGAACGACACGCACGGGGGAGGAGGAGCGGGAGCGAGCACGAGCAGCAGCAGGTCTCGCAGACGCAGCAAGAGGAGCAGCAGGGGAGGTGGAGGCGGAGGTGGGAGGACCTGCAGGACCGATGGGAGCTCCAGAACTGACAGTCTGAGCTCTATCAACATCGTTACCTGGATACCTCCCCTCCTGGAACGCCGCCCCCTCGGCAATCATGCCATCAAAATCTTGAAAGGCCCTCTCTCCCGAGGGAGCGACAGGTACTGAAAATCTTGAAAGGCCCTCTCTCCCGAGGGAGCGACAGGTACTGTAGGCAATGGTGCAGGAGTCACACTGCTCTGGATTCTGGCCTGCACCCTCCTTGAGGGGGGCGAGGCCAGCCGAGCTCGAACCATACGAAGGGCACTCCTCCCCTGCGACCCCGACGGCGACGACGCAGTAGCCCTCCCCCCACCATCGATCGGACGCTCAGGACCCCCAGGGGCGTCCACCTGTCTGAGACTCGCAAGGGTCTTCAGCCCCAGCACGAAGGATACGAGCACAAAGAGCTATCTTCGCAGGGCACCGGCGCGTCGCTTGTATCTTGCACTGCTTGTCAGATCCCACCGACTTTCCGCAAACGGAGCAGCGCCATGCATCACCAGACTCAAAGAAGGGATGCAACTGGCCAGGGTCCACGGGAGCTGTCGTTCGCGCGGCGGCAGAAGAGCGCGCCTTGCGCCTTTGCTCAAACCGATCCTGGCCTGGAACAACAGTGTCATTCATATACTTAGT